AACTCAGTGATCCTGTTGCCTCAGCCTCCTGAGTGCTGGGAGTATAAGCATGCATCACCATCCCCAGCTTTCATTTTTATGTATAAGTTTATAAAAATTATTAACTGACTAGGTCAGGTTTTTTGGAGTGTGGGGTACCGGCAGTCGAATTCGGGACCTTGCACTTGGCACCACTCAGCTACATCCCTGGCCCCTGGGTCAGGTTTTTTTTAACCCCCCAAATTATTAATGAATGATTTTTCTGGGTTTTTTTATTACTACTATAAAATCCAAGGTGCACCTTATACTTAGAGCACATGTCAGCTGGAACAGTAAATTTCCAGGGGCCCAGTGATTGAGATGAAATGCACTCCTTAAGACAGTAGCCACAAGGGATGGGGATTTAGCTCAGTGGTTCTGCCCCCTCCCTTGTCAGCGAAAGGACCCGAGTTCGGTACTGGGGTCAGGGGAGACAGTAGCCATAATGCCACTGTGTTATGATCTCATTGGTGCTAGGATCGAGTCCAGGCTCACACACAAGCAAGATAAGTGCTTATTTGTTTTGTTTTGCTTTTTAACACTGCTTCAGTTGATCTGTGTGTTTCAGCCTGAACTCATGCAGTCGCCCAGGCTGGCCTCAAGCAGTGGGATTACAGGCGGGTGCCACCAGGCCATGCACAGAATTTTTAATTTAAGGAACCACTGTGGAACAGACTGAGGATGGAGCCAGCAGGTGACTGGGGCGTGGCAGCTGGAGTCCCCTCCTCAGGATTACTGGGTGTAATGAATGGGCTCACCCAGCGCAGACCGGAAAACCAACATTTCTCAAATTTTTCACTCTTCACCCTAAGGGCTTGTTTGCTACAGCGTTTTTTTTCGTTTTTCGAGTGAGCCCTGCTGCACTTACCCGGATAAAGGAAGACTGAAAAATAACACTCTGGGAGCCGAGATGCTCCTTAGGATGCTCCTTAGGAGGAATATTATAAACGCAGGTGAAGAGTACAGCTGGCTCGTGCTGTCTTAGGGTGGTGATCGGATTTTTTTTCTCTTTTGACACCGGGGATCGAACTCAGGACCTTGCACTTGTGAGGCAGGCGGTGAAACCACTGTGCTAAATCCCTGGCCCGGTGACCGGATTTTTGATCCCTGAAAAGTCACTCGCATTGTTCGAAGAAAGAGATAGCTTTCCCCGCCTTTCCTCCTGTTTGAAATTCTTTGATTTCAGTATTACCTGTTTTCCTCCTTGGCAAACGTCCTCCCACACGGCAGGGGGCGCTAGACCAGGATTGGCCCTGCGGGGACGCCGATCCTCCCGAAAACCAGGGGCCTCTGTCCTGGCCGCGCTGCATCCTGGAGTGCACTGCCCGCCCCAATGCAGTTTCCACCGAGGGAAGCCCCAGAGGGCACGGGGTGGCCGTGGGCATCTAACCCTGCTGCCTCTGCGTGCCCACTGCGCCAGCCGGGGCTGGAACTCAAGGAGGACGCTGGTCTCAGACGAGGACAGTCCAGTGGGCGAGCTCCCTCAGGCCTAGCCGAGTCTCTAGGGTTCTCAGTGTAACAGCCCTCCTTCACTGCTGCTTGATTTTTCTTTTATTATTTTTCTTTTATTTTAATTTTTATTGAGTTTATTGGTACATTCTACAATACAGTTACATTCATTACTGGGATCTTGTACCTTTACATGACATTATTTTTAAAGACAAGGTCTTGCTACGCAGCCTAAAGTAGCCTCACACTCAATAATCCTCCTGCCTCAACCTCCCAAGTGCTGCAATATGGGTGTGAGCCACCACAGTCGGTTTAAACCAGTTTAATTTTTCTAAAGATAATACACTCAGATTAAGACGACCAGAAAAAACAACCCTTTCATCTCCTTTCTCTTTTTCTTGGTATTGGGGATCGACCTCGGGATCTTCCAATTCCAAGGCAGTAGGCAGAACCACTGAGCTAAATCTCTGGCCCCTCTCTTCTTTCTTACCGAGAAGAAAAATTCGTTTTTGTTTGGTTGGTTTTGTTGTTGTTTAGACAGGGTCTCATTCAGGCTGGCCTTGAACTCACTATGTACTGGCCTCCACTCGCCACAATCCTCCTGCCTCAGCCTCCCAAGAGCTGAGATTAAAGCTGCTCACCACCACGTCTGGCTGAGAAATATCCTATTTGCTACAGATGTCAAACATTTAAGACTTGGACCGCTGTATGTGGTGGTTCAGGCCTATAATCTCAGCTGAATCGTGAGATCTTAAATGCAGGCACGCAGAGTGAGCCAGGACTAGAGCTTGTCTCCAAGAAGCATCTGATTATTCGGGCTCCAGCGCTCCAAGTTTGGATTCTAGGCCCCAACCAGAACCCCAAGAAAGACGCGTGGCCTTGGGCTCCTTGCCATCTGCTCCACGCTGCTCCCGGCAGAAGGATCCTAGGCCGAAGGCCGAGGGTTAGCAGTTTGCCCACCTGCTGCGCCACTCCCTCCTTCATTATCTGACTCATCCTCTTCCCCCTCGGTGTCCTCCTCTTTCCCACTCCCCCTGCTCCCTCAGCTTGCTGGGCTAGCGCAGTAACCAGTTGTTTATCTCCCTCTTTTCTTTCAAGAAAGTCACCATCTATGACTTAGGTGCCCTCGTCCCTCTTTTAGTTTTTCACTATGGAAACACCCAACTTTAGGAGACCAGAACTTTATGGTATCCATGAAGCACGACTTCTTGGAGAGCGCCCGATCGGTGGTGCTGTGTGCCCAGCCTGTGCCCCGATGGTGAGACTGATGGTCGGATCTGAGGACGGCGGGGCTGGAAACGGCCCCAGGCCTCCTGTAACTTCCTCGCCCAGACCGCCCTTCCTCCCCTTCAAGGCTGCGGTCCCAAGGCAGCTGACTAGGAATTCCTCCAGGTTACACTCCTTCGAGTGACTTTAAATCTGATAATCAACTTTGCTTTACATCGATAGCTTTATTCTCCAGGTACTGTAGATTAACCTACTCCGGAGCAGGCGCCGCTGTTTACCCGCCCTCCCTCAAGGGTTTTTGGCGGGGCGTTTTGTCTGTGAAACTAAGAGGCATCCCTGCTTCACAAGAGGGAAGGATGTGGATGCGCTCAAAAAAAGAAAAAAAAAAAAAAAAAAAAAAAAAAAAAAAAACCCCCCCAGGGGGGGGGGGGGGGGGGGGGGGGGGGGGGGGGGGGGGGGGGGGGGGGGGGGGGGGGGGGGGGGGGGGGGGGGGGGGGGGGGGGGGGGGGGGGGGGGGGGGGGGGGGTAAAAAAAAAAAAAAAAAAAAAAAAAAAAAAAAAAAAAGCAAAGCCCCCGCAGGGGCGGGGAGAGGGCGGATGTGGGTGGGGGAGAAGCAGTGCCTGGAAGGGGCGGGGCTTGGCGCGGATCGGCTCCGCCCCTCGCGGAGCTGATAAAAAGCGGGGTCGGCGTGATGCTGCGAGCGCGGAGCGGGCTGCTCGGGCTATCAATTACTTCATCCTTCAGCTGCAGGGTCTCTGGACCCCACCCGTGACTTTCCTAGGACTGGGACGAGACAAGTTGCGGGACCATGGGGAGCTACAAGGTAAAGGCTTGGTCGCGGTCGCCGGGCCTGGCCCGCGGGAAGGTCGCAGCGTGGTGTCTGTGACCGCGGGCCTGGGCTTCGCGGGGTGAGATCGGGGCCGGGCTTGGTTTGGGAGCGCAGCACCACAAGCAGCTCTCTGCCTACCCTGTGTGGGTAACAGTCGAGCCCCGGAGGCCCCGGATGCCGGGGAAACTGAGACAGACCCACTTGTCCTTGTGGCTGTGACTGTGAGCGAAGGACGTGGTGACACATCAGTGTTGTGTGCGCAGTATCTGTAGGGGAAAGGCGTTTTTACTCAGATAAACTCACTTGAAAATAAAGGAAGATTAAAGGGATAAAGAAAAATAAGACATGAGCATGGTGGCGCAGTCCTGTGATTTCAGCACTCCGGGAGGCTGAGGCATGAGGATCTCCGTGAGTTAAAAAGCCCAGCCTGGGCTATAGGGTGAAACCCCCTTCTCAAAAATCTAGAAAAAGAACAGGAAAAGGCTCTCTCTGAGATGGTGATGAGAAAAGAGGTTTTCGATAAAGGAAAAGCAGCGTCGTCCCAGGTACATGGGCTGAGCCGGGCCTGGCCCGGGGAAAGTCTCCCGAGGTAGCACGCAGCCTGCGTCCACCTGACTGAGGGGATAGGCCGGCCTCGAAAAGAAGGGAAGGTCGGCGGATTGTGGGGGCCGCCCGTGAATGAGACCTTAGCCGGGAGCCGCTGCCCGCCGGCCGGCTTCTGCGCGTTGCTGCGGGAGGCGGTCTTTGGTCTCCTGGATCTGGCCGTTTCAGAAGTATCAGTCTTTTCCTCTGCCTTCTTAGTTTATTATTTTTTTATGTGCTCTTTTTCTGGTTTATTTTCCTTTTATCATGTATAATTTAAATCCAGCATTAGTTCTCACATCTTAAAGCGTCTCCAACTGCCTTTCTAGTTCTAGAGCACAACTTTGTATTTGCCTTTATCTGGTACTGTACAGCTTTTTTAATGCTTCTAAGCCAGTTCCTTTTTTTTTTGGTACCAGGGATTGAACTCAGGACCTTGCACTTTCGAGGCAGGCAATGGAACCACTGAAATAAATCCCAGGCCCTCCAGTTCCTATTTTTCCACAAAATTAAAAAAAAATCTCATTACGTTTTTGTCCTTCTTACCCCTCATAGGTCAAATTCTAATACAGTGCATCTCCACAACTAATAGACTATCATTGAAAAAGTTGTGAGGGCTCATTTAAAAAAAAACAGGTGTGGTGGGACACACCTGTAATCTCAGAACCCGCCTGTAATCCCAGCACTTAGGAGGCTGAGGCAGGAGGGTGGGGGGGTGGTTCCAGGCCAGCCTGAGCAACGCAGCAGAGATCTTACTCAAAAGAAAAAAAATTGAGGGCTAGCTAGTCCAGGGTACTGTGGTCACAGGAGCCTACACTGAGAGACTGAGGCAGGAGGATCACAAGCTCACGATTTAAGGGCTGTTTCTCTCCTCCCTGTGCCATTCTACACCCAGGTGACCCCGTCTCTGGTCTTTGCCGTCACCATCGCTGCCATCGGCTCTTTCCAGTACGGCTACAACACCGGGGTCATCAATGCCCCCGAGGCGGTGAGTGTCGGCCCTGGAAAGGGAATGGGGAAGTGAAAAGTGAATTTGTCAGCTGGGGTTGTCGTCCCCGGATAGAGGAGCATTGGCCTAGGACACGGGAGGCCCCGGGCTTCACCTCCAGGACCCGGGGAAAATCGGAATTAAAACTTTTGTGTCCAGCCTCTATCTTGGCTAAGCCAGAAAGTGGTGAATATGTTGAGTCACTTAATGAGGACCGAATACTCACTTCCCCACACCCTGAGCCGCTAGCTCCTCCTCCCACCCTGGGCGGCGGTACACTCTGCCCAGGGAGCCGGTGGGCCGCGGCAGGTGCTGCCACCTGCTGGGCTTTGTGGGCCAAACCTTCACAATTGCTCTGCGTATTGGCACCGAGCACCCCGGCTCCCCTGGCTCTCTCCCTGTACCTCACAGGGGCTCCCGTTCTGTTCTGCAGATCATACGGAAGTTCCTCAACAGCACCCTGTCACAGAAGCTGAGCGAGCCTCCCAGCCCTGGGCTGCTCACCACCCTCTGGTCCTTGTCTGTGGCCATCTTCTCCGTGGGCGGAATGATTGGCTCCTTTTCCGTGGGACTCTTTGTCAACCGCTTTGGCAGGTAGGGACCAGAACTGGCCAAGAGAAGGGGCGGGCAGCGCTGAGGACAAACAGAAAATTAGGTCAGGGCGGTGGGGGCATCAGATTGGAGGCCGTGGGACCTGGGCCAGCTGGCCCTAGTGTGGTGGCTCTTAGGGGACTCTGGGCTAGAACTCTGGGAGCAACGCAGAATGCTTTATTTAGGTCAGAATTATTTGCTTTTCCTTTAAAAAGAGACGAAGTCATGGAAGTCTTCATTATTTTACATTGAAAATATTTTTGCAAACCTTGGTTTGTGGTACATATGGACAGTGGCCAAATAGCTAAATTTTTCCCCCAAAGACCTCGTCATCTCACCAGACACTTAGTAAAAGTCTCAGAGGGTAGAATGCTTTCAGTAATGACAGAAAGAACCATTTAGCTTGGCGGCTAGATATTCTCCATGTGCAAATGGATTTAACCTATGTGTCCAGGCTGCTCTGCAACCCCTTGGTTCTACACAAAACCAGCACCTGGCAAGGAAAATAGAAAATGTGCTCACACATATCACTGTCATGCCAACAGCAAGATCTGTGCAAAGAGAACCGTTCCCAAAAGTACAGCTGCGAGTCCCAGGAAGGAGAGAAGGAACTATTCACAGGTTCTCAACTGTCCCTTGTCCTCCTTAGCCGACTGAGCCTTTCATCCAGAAAGAATTCCAACATCCTGATGTTTTACTGCTCCTTTGTGCAGGCCTGGAATTCGTCTCTGGGAAACAGGATCACAAGTAGGAGTCCAACGTGGGCAATTTAGCAAACTTTGTTTTGACTCTGCTACAACAGCTAGCTTTTTAGTTTAAAAAAAAAAAGAAGGCAGAAATAATTTCTTCTAAAAAACAAGTAATTGCCCCGTAAGACCAAAAGCTTTCAAGAAAACAACTCAGTGCCAGTCTTTTACCTCTTGTCTGTTTCATGTTCCAGTGCTTCCTCCCATGCTTAGCACAGAGATGTAGTAGTTTAGTTTTTATACCTGTTGAGTACACTTTTAGTTTTTATACCTGTTGAGTACACTAACGGTGAATGACATCGCCACAGTCTTACCTGGAGGAGACCTGAAGCTGCCTGACTGACTGCCTTCTGTGATGGAGAAACATTTTATTTGAAATAATTTGAATTCAATACCAAATTCTTCATCTGTAAGCAACTACAGTGCTTGAAATGCAGTAAAAGACATAAAAAGAGGCTGGGGATTTAGCATATCTCTGTTTTTGTTTTTTATTTTTGAGACAGGGTCATTTAAGTTGCCCAGGCTGACATCAAGCTTGAAATCTTCCTGCCTCAGCCTCCAAAAACATTTCTCAGGGGAGTCTCAGCTCTTGTCAAAGTGCTGCCTAGGGCAGTGGCTTTCTGATTTTAGCTTGCATCAGACCACCTGTTCTTTGGATTTTTCTTAAAATTTTACCAGTGTTTGTTGGCAGTATAAGATAACATTCATTGTGGGGGTTGTGTACAGAACACATCTTATTTGGGGTTTTTGTTTGTTTGTTTGGCACGGGGGATCAAACTCAGGTCCTTGCACTTGTGAGGCAGGTGGCGGAACCACTGAGCTAAATCCCTGGCCCCCCAGAACACATCTTAATTCCTTTTACTTCTCCTCTGGGGGCTTTTTATTTATTTAATTTTTTTGGTACCAGGGATCGAATTTGGGTCCTTGCTACTTGCAAGGCAGGCAGTGGAACCACTGAGCTAAATACCCGACCCTCTGGGGTTTTTTAGAACAGATTCCTGGGTCTGCTCCTTGGGTAAGACCTAACGATTAATCTAGGTGAGGCGGGAGAATTTTAATTTCTAGCAGATTGCTTAACTGGCGCTGATGGCCTGTGGGCCACAGAGAGCTAGTGCTGGAAGCCCTTGCTAAATAAAACCCAGGCTCACCAGGGCTGGTGCTATGTGCCTATCAACCAGCACTCGGAGCTGAGGCAGGCTGGGCTGCGCAGGGAGTTCAAAGCCAGCCTGAGACCCTGTTTGGGGAAAAAAAAGTCCTAGGTTTGGGGATTTGGCTCTGGCACCACACCTGCCCAAGGTCAAGCCCAAGGTCCTGAGTTCTGATCACCAGTATCAAAAAAAAAACCTGCTACCACCAAGTGTCTTTTTGTTCATTTGTTTTTGGTACCAGGGATCAAACTCAGACCTTGTGTGCTACAAGGCAGAGACAGGCAGCGGCACCACTGAGCTAAATCCCTGTTACCCACTGAGTGTCGCAGACCAGAGCTGGGGGTGTAGATCGGTTGGTTTGATGCCTGCCTAGCCTGTGCCAGGCCCTGGGCTCAGTCCTTGGCACCAGCAGAAAAAAGCTTGGGTTTTCTAGGTGAGTTTTACACATAGTGAAAGAGGTATAAAAACGATCGATTCAGGTTACTCCAACTAGAAATGTGCTGCGAATAGAAATCAGGAAAGAAATTTAAACCAAAAGAAGTAGTGGGGAGTTCAGGCCTGGAAGGAGCGGGAGAAGGAGGAAAGGGAGGGAGGCCGGCGTGGGCCACTAACCTGGGCTCTGAAACCTGCAGGCGCAACTCCATGCTCATGGTCAACTTCCTGGTGGTCGCCGGCGGCAGCCTCATGGCTTTCTGCAAGATGGCCGAGTCCGTGGAGATGCTGATCCTCGGCCGCGTGGTCACGGGCATCTTCTGTGGCCTCTGCACAGGCTTCGTGCCCATGTACATCGGAGAGGTGTCTCCCACCACCCTGCGGGGAGCCTTTGGCACCCTCAACCAGCTGGGCATCGTCATCGGGATCCTGGTGGCTCAGGTACCCTGGGGGTTCTCACACCACATGAGTCCATTCATTCACAGCACTTTCAAAACAATAGACGGAGGCGGGGGTGTGTGTGTGTGTGTGTGTGTGTGTGTGTGTGTGTGTGCGCGCGCGCGCGCGCGATGCACATTTCAGATGATGTGGGTTGTCGCCAGCAAAGCCAGCGGGGTAGCAAAAGGAAAAGAAATAGTCCAGTTTCATCTTTTCGTTTGGTAAAAATGAGCTGTGCTTGGTGGAGCACGCCTATAATCCGAGCACTTGGGAGGCCCAGGTTGGAGCATCCCACAAGTTCGAGGCCAGCCTGAACTACATAGTGAGACCCTATTAAAAAACAAAACAGCAAAACAGAAGAATGAATGGCCCCCTCTTTAAATGAAAAAAAAAATAGCCAGGAAATTGGGGGTTCATGACATTGTTTATCTGGTTTCTAGATCTTTGGCCTGAAATTCATTTTGGGGACCGAAGACCACTGGCCCCTGCTGCTGGGCTTTACCATCATCCCAGCCATCTTACAAAGCATAGCCCTTCCGTTTTGCCCCGAGAGCCCTAGATTCTTGCTCATTAACAGAAAGGAAGAGGAGCGTGCTACGAAGAGTGAGTATTATTCTTCATGTGTACTCTTTGAACCGGGCTGGACCCGTGGAGAATGGCGGGGTGGGGAGACCAACGCGGCACTTGGGCGGCAGTTTTATTTCTGCCTCTTGCTTCCTTCCGCCAGTCCTCCAGCGGCTGTGGGGCTCCCAGGATGTGTCCCAGGACATCCAGGAGATGAAGGATGAGAGCGTCCGGATGAGCCAGGAGAAGAAAGTCACCGTGCTGGAGCTTTTCCGGTCCCGCAACTACCAGCAGCCCATCATCATCTCCATCATGCTGCAGCTGTCACAGCAGCTCTCAGGGATCAATGCCGTGAGTACCGGCGCTGCCCCTGTGTGAGGCTGAGGCAGGAGGATCCCTGGAGCCTAGGAATTCAAGGCCAACCTGGCAACGCAGCAGAGTCCATCTAAAATGTGATAACGTCACAGTGCTTATTTTGTCAGATTTTGGGAGGAAAAAAATAGTTTGCCAGAGCCTTTCAAATGATTTGAATGGATCCCAGTCTGGAATTTGCTCATTTGAAAATAACGTTTTTCTGTTATATCCTGGAGCAGCGGGTGCAGCTCAGCCCTGGGAGGAAGTGCTTTGTTTGGAGGTGCCCCTCCCTTGGCCGCCTCACCCCAGCCCTACCCTGCAAACCACAATAGAAGAAAACACCACAAGCTGAGTGTGGTTGCCTGTTACCCCTCCAGCCCTTGGGGAGGCTGAGGCAGAAGAATCTCGCAAGTTGGAGGCCAGCCTGGGGAAACTTACCAATACCTTGTCTTAAAAAGGGCTGGGGATGTAACTCAGTGTATCCAACCTCTCTTACCCATCTCATCCCCCTACTCTACCACCACCTCCCTTTGGGACTGCACAGTGAACCCAGGACCTTCACACTGTACATCCTGAGCTCTTTTATTGTCTTATTTCGAGACAAAGTTTCACTTAAGCCACTAAGATACCCAGTCTGGGCTTCACCTTGCAGTCCTCCTGCCTCAGCCTTCCAGAGCACTGGGATTGCAGGTCTGTGCCACCATGCCTGGCTAAATAAATCATGATCCTCATCTTAGTCCTAGGGATAAGGGAGAGTGGTTTCTTGAATGTAAATCTCAATGAATGTAGAATACAACAGTGTGCTCATCAGGAAGACCTAGGGATGTTGCCATAGTAGCGAATACTCTGGGTGATAGAGATGACTTTCCTTTGTCACCAGAAAGTCTTTTGAGTCTGAAATCAATACCTGTATAGTAATCATAGCAGTCCAGGTAGTAAGAATGAGGGCTGGGACGTGGCTCAGTAATCAAGCGCTTGCCAAGCATTCTAGCACAGCCTGGGTTCCGTCCCCGACCCCATGCATGAAAGTCAAGACACAGAGCTGGGGATTTATAGTTCAGTGGTTCCACCTCCTGCCTTGCCAAGGTCCTGAGTTCGATCCCTGGTACAAAAAAGAGAAAATTAATAGCTTACATTCCCTAAATCCCTGGGAAAGAACATAGGGCTAGGGAATTAGCCCCAGCTCGACATGCACAGGCTTAGGAGGATGTGGTGACGCATGCCTCTAGTTCTAGCTCTTGGAGGCTGAGGCAGGACGACTGCTACAAGTTCAAGGTCAGCTGGGGCTTAGAGTGAAGCCAGCACAGCAGGACCCTGTCTCAGAAGGAAGAGAATCCAGGCTGTTGGCTCCACTGCCACCTCATTACACTGGGACATTGACACCTGTCAGTGTCGGGTTTGGGGTACAGCCCACTGAGAACCCAGACCTTCACACAAATACAATGGGAGTAGAAATGGGTACTGGAGCGGAGCACCCAGTGGGTGGGCGGGTGCGGAAGAGGATTGGTGTGCAGAAAACTCGAAGACCCCACCTCCGAGGCCTCAGCTCCCGGTGGGGTGCAGTCACAGCAGATGCGTCTCTTGTTCCCTGCCAGGTGTTCTATTACTCAACCGGCATCTTCAAGGACGCCGGTGTCCAGGAGCCAATCTACGCCACCATCGGGGCAGGCGTGGTCAACACCATCTTCACCGTGGTTTCGGTGAGTTGGAGGCAGGGTCACTTGGGAGGGCAGGTAGGTTCCTGGCTCATGCCCATCACTGTGACCATCACCTCTGCTTTCCAGCAGATGGGGGCGGGGCTCAGGGCTGCGTGGCCAGCACATGCCCTGCTCTTTGTGAACAGCAGCTTCTGTCTCGGCCCAGGTGTTCCTGGTGGAACGGTTGGGGAGGAGAAGTCTGCACATGGCCGGCCTCGGCGGGATGGCCGTTTGCTCCATCCTCATGACTGCCTCGCTGCTGCTGAAGGTGCGTGCCCTGACAGGGAGGGGCATGGGGGTCTGCAGAGGTCACGGGTGACTGGGGCAGGGCACAGGCCCGACATCGGATGCCGTTGGTAAAGTCAAATTTGATCTGCCATCGTGGCACACAATGTAATCCTGGCCCTCGGGGAGGCGGAGGCAGGAGGATGGCCAGGAGTTCGAGGCCCACTGTTGCCAGGGCTACATAGTAAGATCAAGGTCAGCCTGAAAGATGGCAAGACGCAAAAACACCACCTTGAGGCGGCCCACTCTGTTGTAGGTGATTTGTGCAAAGTGACACGAAATATGGTACAGCTGGGATGCAAGAGCCCAGGCTCTGTCCCCGTCCCTGAGCTGGCTTTTCACCCAAGACAAAGAGCCACCGAGCTGCCAGCGCTCACCTCATGTGTCTCTTGCAGGACTCGTACACCTTCATGAGCTACATCTGCATCGGGGCCATCCTGATCTACGTGGCCTTCTTTGAGATAGGGCCCGGCCCCATCCCCTGGTTCATCGTGGCCGAACTCTTCAGTCAGGGCCCCCGCCCGGCTGCCATGGCCGTGGCCGGATGTTCCAACTGGACCTCCAACTTTTTGGTCGGACTGCTCTTCCCCTTCGCTGCAGTAAGTAAATGAAAATCTTGAAATCTGTCCACTTTAGCCAACATGTCTAAGACACACCATGAAAATCTTTACTGACTTCATTGGAAATCAGCTATCAGAGGCCGTAAGCCAGACTTCCTCAACTTCAGTGAAATACAGGAAAAAAAAAAAAGATGGAAGCAGGAGGTGAAATCCAGGAACTTGGAGAGAACCAGGAGTCTGGTACACACCTGTTCTATCTAGCACTCAGAAGGCTGAGGCAGGAGGATTTCTGGGAGTTTGAGACTAGCCTGGGCTACATAGTGAGTTAGTTCCAGGTCAGTCTCAACTACATAGAGAGACCCTGTCTCAAACCCCCCCCCAAAATGAAAAGAAAAGAACAGTAGTGACACTGGTAAGCTTCAGACAGAAGCAGGACTCCCCGACAGTCTGAGTTGGCATTGACTATGATCTTAGACTCACCACCCAGCCTAGGATCCAACAGACCAGCTATGTCCTGTTATAGAGTGAGGTCAGCAACAGACTTCTAGATCCACTTCCTATCTATTTCCAGGAGGTCGTGCAGAAACCAGATTTTAAGCATAGTGACAAATGGTAGGTGTTTACCAGAGGCTGCCTTCGGTAAACAGGAAATGGATGACACAAATTCCAGAGAAACGCAGTTATGCAGTGGCCTCAAATAAGTCACTCTTCCTGTTGAAGGTCGGGGCTCCAGTTGAGGCCTGGGAAGACACTGCTGTGGAGGAGCTTGGGTTTGTCTCTGTTCCTTCATATCAATCTTCTCTCTCTCTCTTTTTTTTTTTCCTTCCAATAGGCCTCTTTGGGAGCCTATGTTTTCATCGTCTTCGCTGTCTTCCTCATTATCTTCTTGCTGTTCACCTTCTTCAAAGTCCCTGAGACCCGAGGCAGGACTTTTGAGGACATCACGCGGGCCTTTGAAGGGCAGGGTGCTCAGGACGCCCCGGGGAAGAGCCCAGCTGTGGAGCTGAACAGCCTGCAGCCGGTGAAGGACCCCGGTGTCTAAGCGGCTCTGCTCCGCCACCGCCCTCGCCGCCAGGACCGCGGACAGCGACCTCCCCCCGGGCGGCTCCAAAGGCCGAGCCAGGACTGCTCAGTGCTGCTAGTTCCCAGTGCCCACTTGGACCTGCACCTGCTGGAGGGGCCGGAGCCAGGCCCGGGGGACAGCGGACGCCACTCCTCACTGCACGGCTTGTGCCGCAGTCCCTCGGGTTGTATTTATTTACCTTCTGGTTTTATTGCGTAGATATTTATTTTTTTAAGTGTACTTTACCAAATAGTGAAGAAGACCTAAGGAAAGCGGAGGCGAGGGTGGTGTTGAAGGAGAGGCCGCAGGGAAAGCGGGTGCGAGGTGGGGGCTCAGGGAGGAGGCTTGTCCCCGGGGTGTGACGTCCCCCAGGCGGGCACACAGCGTCTTTACGCTCCTTTCAGGAAAGTCTCGCGCCTGTGTAGCAGAACCACTGGCTCCTTTTGGAAGTTTTCTTTAGGGTTAGTTTGTGTAGACTACGACTTGGAACCCGGGATGTTTGCTCAGGTGGCACGGTGATCACAGGCCGTTGGTGGGTCTTGGTTTCGGTGCAGGCTGTTGTCCCCACCCCACAGGTCTCGGGGGGACCCGGGGAGCGCTTCGGCAGTTTCTCCACTTTGTTTATCTGTTTTTGATTTTAACTTGTAGCTTTCAAAGAAATCGGGAGGATCCTTCCTCATGGGCGGTTTGGGATGAGTAACCTCAGCTCTGGGAGGGGGTTTTCCCAAACATCACTCTGCTTTGTAGGTGGTCACTGCGGGGTGCCTGGTAGGTGCCCTGGTGGGGACCTGAATCTCCCTGGACACACACAGGTGAGGGTGGCAGTAGTAGCTTGCCGGCCGCCGCAGCTCTGTGGGTAGTTAGCTCATCCCCGTGTAGACGTGACCCTGCCTCTGCTGCCCTGCCCTGCACTGAGGCTGGGGGGGCACTGGTTGTGTGTGGAGAAAGAGAACATTAAGCTCTGAGGGGATGAGAAGGCTCCTCCAGCTCTCCCACCCCGCCCCGCTCCCTCCTTGGTGCTCACACTCACACACCGCGGTTCTCACTCCTGCTGGTCACAGCCTCTGGGTGAACCGAGCACCCCTTCTTGTCGTGACCAGGTTGTAAATATTTCCACATGGATTTTCTACTGTTCATGTTACCGTGGTTCTTTGTTTGGAAATAAAACTTCTAAATAAGCCCACCGTAGGCTGTTACCTTTGTCCTTCCCTTGACACCATCAGCTTTAACTCCTGGCTCATCACCTGTGGGGACTGAGTTTCTTAGAATCTCACACATGAGAAAATATCAGTAATTGCTTGTTTTGCAGATTAAATGAAAAGGCCTTCCTTTTCCCCAGGTGGGACTCAAATTTGTGACCCTCCTGCCTCAGCCTTCCTAGTAGCATAGACTGCAAACCCGCACTACCACCTCTGTCTAGAATCAGGGTGGCCCTGCCTGTGTAAAGCTTCTTTTTTTTTTTTTTTTTTTTTTTTTGGTTTTTTGAGACAAAGTCTCACTGTGTAGTTGAGACTGACCTGGAACTCACTATGTAGCCCAGGGTGGTCTCAAACTCACAGCGATCCTCCTGCCTCAGCCTCCCAAGTGCTGGGATTACAGGGGTACGTCACCACGCCCGGCTCCTAAAGCTTTTTCAATTACAACTTGTCAGAATAATATCCAGACTCCTTTGCTGTGCCCTGGTGGAGCAGGTGACAACCTGTGAGTCCCGCTGTTACTTCTGTTACCTGGTGTGGCTACAGTTAGCTGCTTTGGCTCCTCAGCTGCCCTGCCACAGGTTTGTCCAATGCTGCCTTCCCTCCTCACCAAAGTTCTGCCCCAGGTCTTTCCAGCTCACTTCAGTCTTCACACTTGTCTCCTTGTGCCTGGGATGTCCTGCCTCCAAGTTTACCTATGTGTGAGTCAGGTCTCAGTTAACCCATGTAGAATACAAGCCCATACAAGCAAGCTCCCTGTCTGTCCTGGTGTCTAAGTAACAGTGCCATCAGAAGACAGAAGGTCGGGCCTGCAGCTCCACAGGAGGATCACGAGTTGTGTGCTCTCGCGGGGTGGGGGTTGGGGTGGTTTGGTGAGACTTTGTCTCAAAAAGGGAATCTGGAGACTTCCGGGAAGATGGTGGAGTGGTGAGCGGCAACGGTGCGATCCCTGATTCAGAATCCAGACACTGGGGAAGTAAGGGAGGAGGGAGGTGATCCCTGGGGCCCGGGAAGGATCTGAGAGGAAAACGGAGGCTGCAGAGAAAGCCTTCAGTGGGGAAACAGGAGGGCAGCCCACACACCTACCTAAGGAAGGTGAGCACGGCGAGGCTGAGGCCCTGCTCACCGTCTAAATGGCAGAATTTACCTTTGACTCTTAGTCCCCTGTTCACATCAAGGAGTGGTTATGTAAAAGTCACAACACCACTGTGCCCTCTCCAAACAGCGTTTTTACAGAAACATTAGAAAAATACAATCTTTCTTCTGCAAGCCTTTGTGTTCACGAGAGCCCTTATTATTTGATGTAAATCGACATTTTTCAGCTGATGACTAGAACTAATGCTGGTCAACTCTCTTCCAGTACCTTGATTCTCAAAATACCTCTCCATGTCATCTCAGTTCAGCAAGGAAACAAACTAGAATTGAACTTGAAGGATAAATGTAGCCTAAGTCTACCTGAAAACAAATTCATTTTAAGGCTATATCCAGCTGCCTAGGAACCTGACACCATCTGTTCAGTCACCGTCCAAAACAGTAAAACAAACACCATATGGTTAGCCTAGATAAAATCCTTAAAGTAGGCCAGGCGTGGTGGCACACTCCTGTAATCTCAGAACTCCGGAGGCTGAGGCAGGAGGATCGCTGTGAGTGCCAGGTCAGTCTCAACTACATAGTGAGACCCTATCTAAAAAAACAAAAACCAAAAACCTTAAAGTAGCAGAAAAATGTCTTAAAATGGAGATGGTCTGAATTAAGGCTATGATTTTCATAAAGCACATGACTTGATTTCAGTAGACTCAGATACAGTAAATGGGTAGTTTGAAAATTAGATTCAGAGCCGCATGGTGGTGCACGCCTGTAATCCCAGCCCCTGGGAGGCTGAGGCAGGAGGATCCCAAATTCCAGCTCAGCCTGGACAATCTAGCGAGACCCTGTCTGAAAATAAATGCCATTGGGATGGGGATTTAGCTCAGTGGTTCCACTGCCGGCCTTGCAAGCTCAGGGACCCGAGTACGATCCCCGGTACCAAAAAAAAGAAAAGAAAAATGCCGTGAAGAGGCCTGGGGATGTAGCTCAGAGCGTCCGGGGCCCTGGGTTCCATCCCCAGTAGGGGAGCACAGGCGAGGGCAGGGCGGCTGTCAGCAGATGACGAGCCCGGCGCTCGGAACCGCTGACGTCTGTAGACAGAGACGGTACCCACGCTCAGCAACTGGGGCGAGCAGGCTTCAGAGATGCGTGTCTGCGCCTTCCCACGCCACGCCGCGTCCGAACGCTTTGCGCACGCGCATTTTTGTTTCTTTACTTTTTTGTCGCACCTGGAGCCCCACCCCCCCACACCAGGCGCCGGAAGCCTGGCCCCCGGGGCCGGGCGGAGCACAGCGCGAATCAGTTCCTGCGGACTCTCCTTTTCCTTGTCGTACTGGGGATTGAAACCAGAGTGTGCCTTGAGCCGCGTTCCCAGCCTTTTTTATTTTTTTTTATTTTGAGCCAGGGTATCATAAATCGCTCAACTGCCCAGAATGGGCTTGAATTTAACGATCCTCCTGCCTCAGCCTTCCAGACTTATGGGATTACAAGCGTTAGTATGCCTGGCTCCCTCACTATTTTTACCTTCATCTTGGCCTGCACGCAATTTTGCTGGCTGCTTTCACTACCTTATCACTACGTTGTGATTTTTTTTTTTTTTTTTTTTTTTTGGTACTGGGTATCAAATTGACCTTGCACTTCAAGGCAGGCGAGACGGAACCACTGACCTAACTCCCCGGCGTACCTTGTGTGACTTTTTTTTTTTTTTGAGGTGAACTCTTTAAGTGTTTATTCACATGCTTTGCTTTCTCTTTTAAGAATCAGAGTTGCCCAAATTAAATCTTTCTGCTAATATTACTACATATACCTAAAAAAAAGAAAAGAAAAGAAAACAAAGGACTGGGGAGTTAGCTCAGTGGTTCCACCGCCTGCCTCACAAGGGCAAGGACCTGAGTTCGATCCCTGGTACCAAAAAGAAAAAAAAAGGGGCCTTTTAAATCAGGTCAGGGGAGAAGAGACTGAAAATCATCAAATTAGTTCTCTTAGCGCCAAATGAAATGATAATTAAAAACAAAACTGTGTACCTTGTGTGATTTTAAAACTACAGAGTTGATTTGATGGTTCACTCTGGAGGCTGAGGCAGAGATCACAGTTAAGGTCCATCCGGGCAATTTGACAAGACCCTGTCTCAAAATACAAAATAAAAAGGTGAGGTGATACTGCTCAGTGGTAGAACGATTCTGGGTTGGGTTCCTAGTACTGCCAGAATAAAAAACAAAAAACTGCAAAGGCCTGGAGACTTCTCTCTGGTAGACTTAACTAGCAGGGGCGCAACCTGGGTTCCATACTCAGCATAAAAATATAAAAGAGCCAGGGATTTAGCTCAGTGGTTCCACCACCTGCTTTGCAAGTACAGGGTCCCGAGTTCGATCCCTGGTACCTACCAAAAAAAAAAAGTAAGTGACATAAATTGACAAGTGTGTTGTAACGAATTTTTTTGGTTTGTTTTTTGAGACAGTCTTGTCATAAAATGGACCCGTAAACTAGGCATGGTGGTGTATGCCTATAATCCCAGCATTTAGGAGGCTGAGGCAGGAGGATCGATGTGAGTTCAAAACCAGCCTGGGTTACATAGTGAGTTCCAGGTCAGTCTCAACTACATAGTGAGACCCTGTGTCAAAAACCAAAAAAATGAAAAATAAATAAATAAACTGGACCCTTGACTTACGAACTCAGTTCCTTCTGAGGGCTGGTTGTAACATGTTGGTCAGTGAAGGCTCAGGCTCCTCTACACAGCCTTCAAAGTCTCTCTCCTGTACCCAGGTAGATCTCAGTGTCCTTGGAGAGACACTGGCCCAGGAGTTCTCAGCCTCCCCAGGAAAAGAATGCTGTAATGTTCCTTCCAGAACTCTTTATGAGTTAAATTTGTATGTGAGACCATCTGGAAGCACAAACAGTCAGCATTTGGCATTTGTGTTGTAACTCAATACTTAAGTTATAAAACTAAAACTCCAGTCATAACCCAAGTTGTTCCTATGTCAGGCCTGTCATAACTTGAGCATCCACTGTGCTCCGAGGCCCAGGCAGGAGGATTCCAAATTTGAGCCCAGTCTGGGCTACTTAGCAAAACCTTGTTTTAGAATTTAAAAATTAAGGGATGGGGATTTAACTCAGTGGTGCCACACCTGACTCACAAACGCAAAGTCCTGAGTTCGATCCCCGGTACAAGAAAAACAAAATGTCTGGGGATGCAGCTCGGTGGTATAGTGCCTGCCCAGCATGCGCAATGCCCTGGATTCAATCCCAGGAGAGCAAACAAACAAACAGTTCTACAATCGCTCCCCATCACTACTGCATGAATCAGATTTCCAGGACAAACCACACCCAAACTACAGCACCAATCAGAGCAAAACCCCAATTTGTTTTTTTTTTCTGGTACACTGTTATGGTTTAAATGTGAAGGGTTCCCCAAAGCCTTAATATACTGAGGCCTTGACGCCCAGCACAGAGATGGGGTCTGAAGGGGTGGACTGCAGGGGCACTAATCTCACTGGGAGGGGTTCGGAGAGGAAGGCTACCTAGGGGCTTCCTTCTCTGAAGGAAGCAGGTCCCAGGAGGCTTGGCCCTAAAAGGTACACTGACTGAAGCGGGAGGACCTCCGAGAGTTTGAGGCCAGCCTGAACTACTTAGCAAGACCCTGTCTCAAACCGTGATTCTGCTCTGCAGCACCAGGCCCTTGTGCCACGATATTCCTACCTCCTCACAGGCCTGAGAAGCAATAGAGCTGCTACCCATGGATTGGGGCCCCTGGAGCTGTGAGCCAAAGGAAACCTTCGCTTCTTTGAGTTGTTCTTCTCAAGTACTTGGTCACAGCAGCCAGAATTTGAGTCCTGCATATCCCACCTGGATCAGGTACAAAGGAGAGCAGAACCGTTTAAATGAACCAAGGGGGCCTAGGTTGCATCCTGACCCCCGGAATAC